GTCACCCCTTGCATCCTTGTCCCCCCTACTCTTTCACCCCCTACTCTATACTCCATGCCCCCCTGCCCCTGCCCCTACCCCTATCTATCCCTATCCCTATATCTTCATGGCATGCCCTCCCCCCTACCCTCCTACCCCTCCCTACCTTATCTCCTCAGGGCCAGGCACGTAAAAGTTGGATTATGTTGCGTTTGGAACCGGGATTTAAGAGCACCTTGTATATTAGGCTTCAGGACTGTGGTATTCTCGTGTGTACTCTAGTGTTTGTTTGTCTTGGTTGTGTGTGTGTGTGTTGGTGTGTGTGTGATGTGTGTGTATGCGCTGTGTGTGTTGTGATGTCGTGTGTGTACATATGCGTGTGCGTGTGTGTGTGTAGGGTCGAATATATATTTAATCTCTAATCTTTTCCTGTGTCCTGTCTACCATCATGAACCTGCATTTAGGTGGTGCCATTGTGGGCGTGATCTTGGCTCTCGTGCCTCGAGTGCAGGGCGCCCCTGCGGTGTACTCCGGTGTCCAGCGCCGCCCCGCAGCTGGCCCTCCGCTGCCACGCCGAGGGGGGGGGTGGCGTTCGGTGCAGCCGTGGAGACCGGGAGGAACGCGAGCCTAATTCGAGGGTCGTTCTCTCTCTGTGTCTGTTGTTTAATCTCTCTCTTCTCTCTTGTCGTTGTGTCTCCTCCTGTGTCTGCTGCTTAATCTGTCTTTTCTCTCTTCTCTCGTCTTTGCCTCTTGGCTACATCTTCTCTTTTCCTCTTTTATTTTTTTCTATCCTTCCTTCCTTCCCCATTCATTCTCTTCTCCCTCTTTCCTCTCCCCTTCTCCCTCTCCTTTTCCCTTCTTCCTTCTTTCCTTCTCCCCCTTTTCCCTTCTCCTCCCTCTCCTCTCCTCTTCTCCACCTTTCCTTTCCCCCTTCTCCTCCCTCCTTCCCCCTTGTCCTACCTCTCCCCTCCCTCCCTTCCTCTCCCTCCCCTTTCTCTTTCCTTCTCCCTCCCTTTCTCTCTCTCTCCCCTTTCCTCTCCCTCTTCCTCCCTTCCCTCCCTCTCCCCTCCTCCTCCCTCCTCCTCTCTTCCCACTTCCTTCCCTCCCCACCTTTCTCCACCCCCTTTGCTTCCCCCCCCCTTCTCACCCACTCGCTCAGGCTTTTATCAGATCAAGACGTCTCCTAGCCCCTCCCCCCTCACCACCACGCCCCTCCCCGCCCCAAGTACGCGGTGATTCAGCGAAGAAAAAGTATATAGAAGCCTACGTCTGGAAGGATTTCGACGTGGGGGGGGGGGTCAGGGAGGTTTTCTTAACTGTAATTTTATTTTATTTATTTATTTTAAGATCATTGTTGGATTTTTTGTTTTGTTTTTTTGTTTTATACGATATTTTTTCCTAATTTCATTGTGTGTCTCTTCAATTCTTGCTTTATTTCCTTATATTTTCCTTAATTTCAGTTCTTTGCTTTATTTTCTTATATTATTTTCCTTACTTCGGCGAATTCCTCGGCGACGTTGTAGGCAAAAGGACAAAGCAAGCGGCCGTTATTGCCATGCCCTCCTTTCATCTCGCCTTCCTCTCCGCTTCGTTTATCCCGCCGTCAGCTTATTCCCGTCTTTCTCTCTCTCTCTAAATCTCTCTCGTTACAGTGGCGAGCTCGAAGCGGTCTTCCTCTCTCTCTCTCTCTCTCTCTCTCTCTCTCTCTCTCTGCTCTCTCTCTCTCTCTCGGTCTCTCTCTCTTCCTCATCTCTCTCTCTCTCTCTCTCTCTCGCTCTTCTCTCCTGCCTCCCTCATCTCTCGGTCTCGCTCTCTCCTCTCTCTCTATCTCTCTCTCTCTCTCATCATCATCTCTCTCTCCTCTCTCTCATCTCATCCTGTCTCTTTCTCTCTCTCTTGTCTCCTCCTCTCCTCAGTTCCTCTCGCCGTCTCCCCTCCTCTCCTCCCCGTCCCTGCTCTCCGTCTCCTTCCCTGCTCCTCTCCCTCTTCCCCTCTCGCATCTCCCTCTCCTCTCCCTCTCCCTCTCCTCTCCCTCTCTCCCTCGTCTCACCTCTCTCTCTCTCTCTCCTCTTCAGGTTCTCTCTCTCTCTCTCTCTTCGTCGTCTCAAATCATCATCCTGCTCTCATCCTCTTCTCCGATCTTGCTCATCGTCGTCTCCTCTCCCCTCGTCGTCTCTCCTCATTCTCTCCAATCTTCTTGTCTCTCGTCGTCGTCGTCTGCTTCCTCTCTCTCCCTCCCTCACTTCTCGGTCTTCTCTTCCCGTCTCTCTCATCGGCTCCTCTCTCATACCTCTCCCTCCGAACGGCGGTATTACGGCTTCCACTTCTACCCTCTCTCCCTCGTCTCTCTTTCCATCCTCTCCCGCTCTGATCAGTCTTCTCCTCTCGTCCTCTCTCTGCTCTCTCCTCTCTCTCTCTCTCTCTCTCTGTCTCTCTTCCTCCTCTCTCTCCCTCTCTCTCTCTCCTCTCCTCTGCTCTCTCTCTCAATCTCTCTCTCTCCTTTTCTCTCTCTCTCGCTCTCTCTCTCTCTCTCCTTCTTTCTCTCTCTCGTCCGTCTCCACAGGGTAGAATGGTGCAGTTGTCCGTATGGGCGACTCCGATGCTGCGAGTCAGCTCTAGTCAAGAATCGCGAGATCCCTCCATCCCGGCAATTAAACGTAGCGGCTCGAAAGCGGTCTTCACGGCCTGTTCGGTCCGTGGCTAGCGGGTCCATGGTGTAAAAAGTTTTAAAAAAAATATATTTTCCTGAATCAGACCATTTTGAGGTTCAGGAGGGGAGAAAGCAGAAAAGAAGAAGGGATAGATAAGAGGGAAGATCGATGATGATGATTGAAGGGATGAAGAAAGATAGGTGAGGGATGGGGAAGTCGGGGTGGGTAACCACAGGAGAGAGGAGGGGGGAGGGGAGAGAGGGAGGGAGGGGGAGAGGGGAGGGAGGGGGATCTCTAATCTCTCTCCTTCCTCGACCCTCTCACCCTTCCTTTCTTTTTCAACCTCTCCCCGTTTACCCACCTCTTCCTTCTCGCCACCTTTCCCCCTCCTTTTCTTTTCCACGTCTACCCCCAGTTAGTTGCTCCCCTCTCCCTCACCCTCCCCTCTTCTCTCCCCCACCCCTCCCTCTCCTCCCGAAACCTCTCCCGTCTTTTCCCCTCCCCCCTCCTCCCCTCCCTGCCCTCTATCCCCGACTTCCCTCTCTTCCCTCTCCCTCCTTTCCCTCTCCCCTAACCCTCCCCGGTTCCACCTAATAGTCACAACGATATTGGTGGCTACAGTCACTTAACGTGGACTAGTGAGTCACACCACAAATTTTCGAGGAGAGAAATTTAGAAATGAAATAATGCGAAGTTCCGCGACCGTCGCTAATCTGTTTCGGTGTAAAAATTATCTGTAATGAGGACAGTCTGGCGTAGCAACAATACGTTTTTCCTGATCTTTTAGGGGTTGGCTGGAGAACCTCAGTTACTTTGAATGTTTCAGCTTGATGATCTAAGGAGATGGCGAGAAAAAAAAGGGGGTTATGTCACCAACATTTACGTTCGGTGTTGTGTGTGGTGTGTGGTGTGTCTGTGGTGTGGTAGTGTGTTTGTGTTAGGAATTATGTTTTTTTTTCTTAGTTTTTTTCTCTTCTTTCTTCGTTTTTTTTCTTTTACTCTTTCTTTTCTCTTTGTTTCCGTTCTTTCCTGCTTTTTCTTCTTCTTTTCCTCTTTGCTCCCCGTTCCTCTCGCTCACATAGAACTCACTCAGCTCTCCAGTCGCTATCTTCTGCTCTCTCTGTGGTCTTGTGTCTACATCTGTCATCTCGTCTCTCTCACATCTCTCGTTCTCATCATGCCTCTTCGTCTCTCTCTCTCTCTCCGCTCTCTCTGACGAGAGGCTCTCTCTTTTCGCGTCATCTCGATCTTAGAGACCTGCTTCTCTCTCAGCTTTCTCGGCTCTCTCTCTTTCTCTTTCTCACATTTATCTTGACTTTTCGTTCGTTCTTTCTTTCCGCCTCCCATCGATTTTATCTCTTCCGCTTTCTCTCGTCGATCGTGCGTCTCTCTTCTCTCTAATCTCTCTCTACGGCCAAACGTCTCATCTCTCCAACTCTCTTCGTCAGTCTCTCTCTCTCTCTCTCTCTCTTCTCTCTCTCTCTCTCTCCTCTCTCTCTACTTCTCTCTCTTCTTCTCCTTCTTCCTCTCCCTCTCGCTTCTCTCACCTCTGCTTCTCCTTCTCACCTCTCCGTCCCCATCTTCCCCTTCCTTCTCGCTCTCTGGACAACAACCGCCCCCCCATTGTCTCTCCTCCTCTCTCGCCCTCTTCCTTCTCTGGTCCCTCTCGTCCCTGACTCTTTTTCCCTCCTTTCTTCCTCTCTACCCGCCTCCCTATTTTCCTCTTCGTCGTTTCTCTCCGTCGTCTTCCTCGAGGTTATTTGGTTCTTGCAGATTGGCGCATGTTATAAGGTTTGACGAGGAATTTTTAATGCAAGAGGATGTGACTCGCGTTTATGACTTGTCTATTTGTTTTTTTAAATTATGGTGGTTTGTTGCCCCTCCTAATTTGGTTGAACGACTCTGGGTTTTAATTTGAAAACTCCCAAAATGATTTTTAACATCAGAGGAAAGGCTAGCCTCCGTAATTAGCAGCTGGCCGTCTCGGGAAGGTGGGATGGGGAGGCGAGTTGGGGGAAGGGGGAGAGGGTTGTGGGGCGCGGTGGGTATTTGATTTGTGTGTAATGATTGAGTCACAAACGTGGAGTGAGGCGAGAGGCGGAGGAGGTGGTGCATTACGCGTGGGGTGGAGGGTAGAGAGGCAGGCGTAGATGAGGAGGTGAGTATGGGCGAGGTGTGTAGGAGGATGGGGAGGTGAGTGTTGTAGGTATTGGTGTTAGAGAGTGGAGGAAGATGGTGAAGTTGGTTGGGTACCGCAGTCGGAGGCGTGTGCGTGTGATGGAAGGGATTAAAGACGTTTTTCGATTAGATGGGTATGGCAGATGATTGCGTTGCGAGTGGTGGTGGTAATGGAGGGGTATTAGGGTGGGG